GGTTCTTTAGGGATACGCAGAACACGACCGCCATATTGCCGGGGATACACATATCCCTAGTGAGGTGAGCATGGGGATACACATATCCCTAGTGATATTAGTAGGGGATACACAAAACACGGGGATACTCATATCACTGTGACATCGGCGTGTTTCAATGTGATACATGATGACGTCATTTAAAACCTGATCATTCTTATCCATCCGCCAACAACAATGATCATATTGCCCCAAGTAACTGTAGACATTCCGAAGACAGGCGATGGACATGGCTTAATCTCATTCTTGATGAAATCATACACAACACTATCAGTGACATCTTTACTAAGGCATGTTGTCGTTCCTCCCAAGATAAATAGCTTCCCGTTAACAATCTCCGCTCTGTGATTTCTCTTTGGCTGAGGCATTCTTGCAAGAAGCTTGACAGGATAAGGCGGGGCAATGGATAGTTGGGGCATCGGATGTTTTCTTTTCATTCCAGTTATGTCCTTCTATGATATATAATTTATCTTGGTAAACTGTGGCGTCATGACCAGCTAACTTGACAGGCAGTTTACCATCAAACATCGTCCATCGCAAAGGATGCCGGTTTATCTTTAAAATCTCGATCGAGTCAGTACCAGCTTGACCATCGAAACCTCCGGCAACGATTACGTTACCTTTGTAAACACATGATGCTGGGATTGTTCGTGGGAGATTCATTGGGGGCAGCTGAGTTGACTTGCCTTCTACTATGTTGTATTTTTCAACGGTATTCAAAACATTTTTCTTTCCTTGGCCTCACCGACCGCCAAGAATAATAATATCTGGGTTGATAATGTCTGCTTTTTGAAGAGCTGTTATACAAACTTTAATATCTGGGTTGACTGGAACTGCGGGATTTATAGCATTAGCACCATTGTTGTTTACATTGCTTCCTTGCAATGCTTGCTGAACCATTATCACCATTTCTTCAAAATGCTGTTTCATCTCGTCAAAACTTTGCTGAATTGAAAATAAAATACTTTCATTCTCAACGCCAAAGACATTAATTTAGCCTTTGCAAGAAAATGGACTTATAAGGCTGTTTTGATTAAAAGGTTTATTTTAAAGACGAAATATTCAATGTCGCTGCATGGGAATCAAATTCCAATGTTCAAAAGAAGAAACGTCTCGAACTTTTTAGAGATACGCTTCATATAACAAAAGACCAAAAAGTTTGGATTTGTATAGAATATGCAAAGGTTAATAATGCTTGTGCGATTATGCGGCGTTGGGCAGATCGCTGAAATAATCTTCCTGCTCGAGTCAGCGAACAGTTGTGAAAACGTTTTGACCGTTTGTGCGAGAGGGTTCCTAAAACGCTCCTTAAAAGTTGTGGCCATAATTCCAATATGCATAAAGCATAGCTTAATCTAGGGGGACGTGTCAATATGGGGACGTGTCAAGAAAGCGCCTTAAATTTTACAGTTTTTTATTATAACTAACTACCGTTATTAAGAACTTCAAAAAGCAGAACGAAAGTGCAACGAAAACAGCTAATAATAACATATTAACATGGGCGTACCGGGCGGGGGGGCGGGGTGGGGGGGGGGCGGTAGCCCCCCAGTTTTTTGGGCAGTCGGGCAATATTCGCTGAACAGTCGGGCAATTTTGGTTAATTAAAAAAATAAATGTGACAATTCTGTAAATTTGCGGAAAATTTTGTGAAATTTCCCCAAATTTTGTAGGTTCCGGACAATAATGGTATGTCCGGAAAAAATTTTTGACCCCTAAAATGGTACACTGACCGAAATTTTTTTTCGGTACTTGTCGGGCAAAATCCGGAAAAGTCGGGCAAATTTCTTGGCGCCCCCCTAAATTTTTCCTTCCGGTACGCCATGCATATTAATGCAAGAAAATGAGCAGAAATTGACAATTAAAATCCACAGACGTTTTAGACGTCGCCGTAGCTCTGTTTTACAACGGCAAAATACAGATTATCACGTCTTGTATACAAGCTGGGACAACTGCTATTTTAAATTGGGTCCTACGGAACTTTTCTCAATCATAAACCCAGTGTTAATTTTGATCCTTAAATTGTATTATTTTCATACGATGGATAACAGACGACAGGTTTTCTGCTGCAATCATTTGGTTCAACGAGTTTGTTTACCGTCGCCGTCGCGTTCCCGTCCTACATGCTTAAGGTCGCTAATGCCTTGTTTCTCTGTTGTCTTCTGCTGCGTTCTTTGCATGGTATAGCCAATGCCTTTGGTCTTTGCAATGCCTATTAAGACTTGTTGGCAGAGTAAAATATATCAGGCAATAAAACTGGTTTCAACTTGCAACAAATCGGATGTTGGTGCATGTAAGTTGTTATTAAAACTTGTTGGCAGAGTAAAATATATCAGGCAATAAAATTGGTTTCAACTTGCAACAAACCGGATGTTGGTGCATGTAAGTTGTAGTGTTGTTTTTACAAAGGGAACCAAGTAAATGAAACTTTAACATCTAGTGTATTCCACTATGTACGGGTTGTACAACCCCAAAAATGTAAACAACACTTTGATTTGATTTGATTTTAGTTCCATAAATCCATATTTTTTATCCATATTATCAATCCATATTTAATTTGATTTTAGTTCCATAAATCCATATAATTTAGTTCCATAAATTTGAGTTTAGATCCATAAATCTATTAAGATCTGCAACTGTCTTACATGCACAAATGCCATCCAATGTAATGACCTAGATGATAACAGGAAGCAGTTTTGTTTCATTAAGGCCTTTGATCAAACAGAAAACACATTTGAAGGTCTTTATGTTCCAACAAATTGCTTTCTGGGTTCTTCATGTTCCAACAAATTGATTTCTTC